CATCTCTATGGAAAACTCTTTGCTTGTATTTTCAATTTTTCTAAATGACAAACTCCTAAAAATGGATGGGGCAAGATCTGAGCCAAAGGGCCCGAAGAAATTATTTTTGCAAGCTATCTCTCCACGGCACATAACAACCACAACAACATCTCTGGATACTGATCAGCTAATTCCTTGATGATGAAGTCCCAAAGTCCATACAAGGTAAGGAAAGACCATCAGGGGAAAGGACAACAAAAGACTGTTTACACATGGAAGACTAATCTAATATCTAAAATTATTAATGAAGGGAGCCAGAGGTCTCACTATCTCGCAGGGAAGCACAAAAAAGGCAGAGCAAGAAGCCTGTGTTGAATGAAAATTGGAGATGCATTTGTGAATTAATCAAGTCTATATATACGGATAAAAATATGTTCACAAATGTGTAAACAGACAGATAGGCACTCAAAGGAAACCCTGTACAGGGTCCCCGGGTATATGCAAACAAAGGGGCTTCAAAAAGCACAGAGAAGAATTCCATTACTTTTTAATTCCCTTTTTCCACAAACTTTCTGAAGCCCTCCCATCCCCTTAAATTCCTGACTGGCCTTTGAAGCAGCAAACCTCTGAATTGTTAAGTGCAGTACAGTCAGTTCTGACTTATAGTGAGTGACCGCTATAATTGGAGGAGAATACTGAAAGTGCCATGGGCTGCCAAAAGAACCAATAGATCTGTTTTGGAAGAAGTGCAGCCAGAGTACTCCTTGGAGGCCAAGAAGGCTAAGCTTCGTCTCTCATACTTTGGACATATTGTCAGGAGGGAACAGTCGCTGGAGAAGGATATCATGCTTGGTAAGATGGAGGATCGGAGAAAAAGAGGAAGACCCCCAATGAGATGGATCGGCCAGGTGGCATCATTGATGGACTCAAGTGTGGTAGCAGTAGTGAGGTTGGCCCAGGATTGGACATTGTTTAGTTCTGCTGTGCATGGGGTCGCTATGAGTTGGTTCTGACTCGATGGCCCTGACAGCAACATAGTGTTTCTGAGGAGTATCCAGTGGGTTTGAACTGCTGACCTTGTGGCTTGCAGTTCAGTGCTGATCCTATAGCAATGAGACTATCTTGCATCCAAATCGAGGCTTCTAAATACTATTCTCCAATAAAAGGAACCAGAATTCCTTAGAGAAATAGCCAATTCTAGGACTTAGGCTAGTAAAACACAAAAGGAACTTAGAACAGCTTGTGAAAGAAAACAAGGAAATGTTCAAAGATGACAGACTCATCTCTCAAAATTATTGAGGCTAACTTGAAGGGAGCTCCCACTAGCTAAATGAGAGATAATCTGAGAACCAAAATAAATACAAATAGTCAAGATTATACCCCACTGAATAGAAGAGGGGATCAAGAGTCTATAGCTAGAAAATTTAAGGAGCCTTTAAGCAGCAACGAAGCACTTGGCTGCTAACTAAAAGGTCAGTGATTCAAATCCACCAGACACT